GTGGGTGTGTGTGTGTGTGTGTGTGTGTGTGTGTGTGTGTGTGTGTGTGTCAGAGCTCAGTTTGGCTGCAGGAGGAGGGAGGTACTGGGAACCAGGGCTAGACTCAAGGGGAGGGAGGGGCAGGGAATCGGCGCTTGGCTCAGCAGTTTTGCAGGGATTAGGGGAGGTGCAGGGAAATGGGGCTCAGCAATCCTGTGGGGGAGGTATGCAGGGAACCAGTGCAGGGCTCAGCTGGGCTGAGGTGGATGGGGGAGGGCATACGGAACAGATGGGCAGCTCAGCTGGGCTGTGGGGGCTGCAGAGAACTGGTGCTGTGCTCCTTTGGATTGTGAGGGATGGTTTTGGGGGAGGTGCAGGGAACCAGTGGGGTGGGCAGCTCAGTTGGGTTGCTGGGGAATAGAGGTGCAAAGAAGCCTAGTGGGGCGGAGGCAGGGCGGGAACCAGGAGCCCTGAAATGACCTCCACTGGTCCAAAAATCCCTCATCTGGGACCAGTCAGGTCCAGAGGGTGCCAGCTCGGAGAGGTCCAACTCCTACCCAAGTCCCCTCCTTGCACCCTCCGTCGTCGCCAGACACCCTACCTCCAATCTGTTCCTCCTCCCTCCCCCTGGCAAGACACCCTACATCCAGCCTGCTTCTGCACCCTACCTCCCACCCGGACCTTGCACCCTAACCCCCTTCCGCACCCCACCTCTTTCCCAGATCCTGCACCCTATCCCACTCACTGGGAGCCCCGTCGTGCACACTGAACCCCTCATTTTTGTCCCCACCCCAGAGCCTAAGGGGATCAACTAACTCCAGAACCCCAGAAAAGTAAATCTGGCCTATGGGGAGCCCTGAATCTCAGTCTTCCCTGTACCTTCCCTTGTCCCGTAGGACTGGAGCGCCAGAGGAGTGAGTTGTCTCAGTTGGAGGCCACATCAGTGAGGGTTGGGGTTTTTTGGAGGAGTTTTTTGTCTCTCACTTGTGTGGTCCTCAACTGATTTTTCTGTGGGTCAGTGGCCCCTGACACAAAAAAGGTTTCCCGCACCTGCCATAAATAAAGAAAACATTGAAACTTTTTGTGTTGGACATAAATGAATATTTTATTTTAAATTAAGTTTGATAAACTAATATGAGAAAGTTAAAGTGCTTAATCTGTTCAATAATTTAAATTAAACCAGTCTCCCTAGCTGCAGCACTAGCAAAATGGATAATTGTGGATAATTATGTAATTAACTGCACATTTCCATTAGCAACTTGTGGCCCATGGAAAAGTTTACATTGAATCAGGTGGTCCACGGGCCAAAAAGTTTGAGAACCACTGTCACAGAAGGTAATAGTTTGTTACTGCTACTACTTTTGGAGTTGTGCTATTGCACTAGGCAGTGATGATTTGTCTGTGCTTTTGCCCTGAAGGTTAAGGGTTCAGCCTCCACAGACAATCCTTGATGGAAGAGTCATTACGCTGTGATCGAAAAGTTATTATTTGAAACTGCATTAATCAGATCAGCAGCATCTGACCACGGTGCCAAGATGTCAATTCTAACCCCTTCATCAAAAGTATGTCCTTCCTCTTCTAGCATTTCAGCTACACTGGGTTGTGTATGTCTGAGAACTCAAAACCTTAGTCAGAGCCAACAGCCCCTTCTCCTGCATCCAAATTTCCTCCCAGAGCTTGTACTTCTCGCCCCTTCCCACACCCAAATCCCTCATTCCCACACCAGACCTCCTGTCTCAACCTGGTGAGAGTGTATAAGGGCTAGGGGTGGCAAGTGAACCCGAGGAGGGAAACAGAGCAGATGAGGCCTCAAGGAAGGGGGGTGGGGGCCTTGGGGAAGGAATGTGATTTTGATGCATTTGTGGGGATTTTCATGAATTGGGGGGTCCCTCTGGCCCCCCCCCCCCTTTTTTTTTTTTTTTGCTTGACAAACCTAGGGGTTCCTTGAAAAGCTGAAAAGGTTCCTTGGCCAAATAAAATTGGGAAACACTGTTCTATGGTATCGTTAATAGAATCTACTAGCAGAGAGCGCCCTCTAGTGACTTATGTGAATTGAATCAGCAATAAAATTTGATGACACATGTAACAATTTGTTACTGTTCTCTACAGTTGTAGTGAATGCAAAGGTTTAAAAAGCTGTTTTACAAGCACCAGATTATTAAAATACTATTTTGTAACACTCAATTTCCCTGTTAAGTGATCAGCAAAGCGTTAGACATGGTGGGTATGGTAATATCTTTTATTGGACCAGCTTCTGTTGATGAGAAGATAGTGTTGGTCCAATAAAAGAGATACTACCTTATCCACCTTCTCTCTCCAATATCCTGGAACCTACCCAGCTAAAAACTACATTGCATACTAAAAGTTAAATCAACTACAAATACAGCTAACATTAAAAAAGTAACATCTTCTAAAGAACTTTGTGATGTTGTGACAAATGCCGAGACTGTTGGG